GCCTACTTCGGCAAGAAGACCACGCTTGAGTTGGCTGCGGCGTGGGTTGCGGATGCTGCCATCCTGGAGGAGCTGGAGGATGACGCGCTTGACCATTTCGCGCAGTTGGCTCAGCGCTGGTCGGACTGGGCCTCGCCACGGGCAATGACGGCCTCCAGGGCTAGCTGCATGGCTTGGGTGCGCGAGCAGTGGCGAGTCAAGCCAGGCCTAGTGCATCGCCATGTCAAGCCAGATCCTCCACCTGATGGGAGGGCGCTGGCCCCGACGGCTGTCCCACCAGCCACCCTCATCTGAGGGCAAGCGCCAGCATTGGTCTGAGATCTGGCGCGAGCAGGTGGACACTCGAGAGGACCTCCACTACTGGCTGGACCAGTTGCACTCAGATGCCTTGGAGGAAGCGTTGCCGCCCTTTGAGCTTGACCAGCCCACCTCCACCCTGCGGGCCATGCCTTCGGATAAGGCTCAGGGAGTTGATGCTCTAGGGCCGAACGATGTGCTTCGTCTTCCAGATGTTGGGCGCCGCGCTTTGGTGAACCTCTTAAATGATACTGAACTTTCAGGGGTGTGGCCTGATGAGCTCACGACGGTGCTCGGCGCTTCCATTCCAAAGGAGGCGGGCGGCCACCGAGTTCTTGGTCTGATGCCTTGCACTGCCAAGCTGCGGGCCAGGATGCGCTCAGCGCCGTCTTTCTCTTGGACGGAAAAGCAGGGGGCCTTCTGGGACACGGCGATCGCGGGGCCCTCAGCCTTGCGCGCGGCGCTGGCTAGGGCCATCTTGGACGAATGTGCTCGTGAGCTTGGCGTATCATACGCCACGCTCTTTCTTGATTTGCAGAAGTTCTACGACTCGATCAGTTTCGTTATGTTGGTGAAGGCTAGTCGTTCTCTGCATTACCCTGCCATCATCACTGTCCTGGAGGTTGGCGTGTATGCTGCACCTCGCCTCATCAAGCGGGGTGTCTTGGTCAGCTCTGCCCTGGAGCCCGGCAAGCCCATTGTCGCTGGCTCCCCGCGAGGGGTGGACATGGACATGCACGGCCTCCTTCAGGAGGCTCACGCAGCGAGCCCGCGCGCAGGGCCGCGGACCTTCATTGACGACACTGTCTGCAGGACGGAGGGCGCTCGAGCCACGGTGATTGGAGATACGAAGTCGGCCGCTCAGTCCCTTGCTCAGTCGTTCAAGGACAACCGTCCGACGATCTCTGACAAGACTAAGTTGGTTGCCAGCGATGATGCGCTGGGCTCGTCTCTGGTCACCTCCTTGAAGAGCATGGGCATTCCCGTCACCCTCACCCCTTCGGCGGTCGACCTGGGAGTTGACGCAGCCGGTGCTCGACGGCGGGCTCGACCTGAGTTTCGCACACGGGTGGCTCGGGCTGCTGCGCGCCATGGCAAGATTCAGAAGCTGCGGCGGCTTGCTGGTAGCCACAAGGTGGCGCGCGGCCTCTGGAGGGCAGGGGTGCTACCCTCTGCTACTTATGGCCATCAAGCTCATGGAGCGCCGCCCTCATTGATGACTAAGTTGCGCGGGCAAGCAGCGGTCTCGATCGCTGGCCACAAGAGGGGCCGCTGCTTGCAGACTGTCTTGCAGGCTACTCTTGGCTCGGGCGACCCCTCCTTGCAGCTTCGACGCGACGTTCTTACTGAATGGTTTCGGATGTGGATTGCGCACCCGTACTTGCATGTACGCATTCCTCGTGTCTGGCCTCGCGTTCGCGCTGGACTGGGCGATCGCGTCCGCTGGCGTGGAGTCCGAGGGCCCACTGCTGCCCTCCAAGCTACCTTGATGCAGGTTGGCTGGGAGCCCCTGGAAGCCACCCGTTGGCGTCGTGCAGGCGCTGATGGGCCAGAGGACTACACGTTCCTCTCTTTTGGCGAGGCTGGCTACAGTGACACCGTCTTGGAGGATTTCAGCGAGCTCTTGGCGGACTTTGAGCACGACTGCCGCGCTGCTGCTTGGCGCTTGGCTGCCAAGCATCCTGATGGTGAACAGCTCGCTGACGGAGCAGATCTGCATGGGATACAGCGTGAATTGGATGCCCTCGCCAAGGAGGGCGCCATGGACATGTGGGGCGCGACGGTCTCGGTCACAGCTGGAGGCCAGTGGGCGCAACAGAGGCAGCACGATGCAGGGTACCAGGTCGATCGCCTGTGCCCTCGACGCAGTGCTGCCCCAGAGACGCTGCACCATCGCATCTGGGAGTGTTCAAAAAATTGCTCTCATTCTGAATACACATCCACTGATGCGCTCATCCCTCAGGCGTTGGCAAATGCAGATTCTGACCCATCCTTGTGGCTGAGGGGTGCGCCCTCGACCAGTCTCACTGTGCCTCGTTTCCAGGAGGGCCCTGGCTTTTCGGACCCCATTTTCCTCGGTCAGTGCTTGCTTAAGGAGCTCTCGGCCCCTGAGGCCCCCCCCCCTTTACCTGTTTGGGGATGGTTCAGGGGGTGAGCACAGCTCAGACGACCGTCGGAGACGCTGCGGAGCAGCTGTGGTGGTCATGCGTCGTGCCTTGGGCGGGGACCTTTTCTGGCGCTTTGTGGCTCCCCGTCTGCGGCGTGGCTGCCTGTCTCCCTGGACGACGTCAGGCTGTGCCCCGATCAGAGCTGCTTGCGCTGGCCTTGGGTCTCGAGAGTTCGTCTGGTGATATCGCTTACGTTTGCGATTGTAAGCCTGTGGTTGATGGCTGGAGGTCTGGCCGCGCCGTACGTCCCTTCGGCCGCAACGCGGACCTTCGGGTTAGGGCGCAGCAGGCTGTCAAAAATCGAGGCCCTGGGTCCGTGGATGTTGTCTGGACCGCTTCCCACCTTGAAGCTGAGCCTGAGCGTATCACCTCCCCGTTTCAAGCGTTCCTCTCTCACGGCAATGCGTGCGCCGATGTCTGGGCGGGGTGGGCGGCGAGGAGGGGGTGGGACACGTCTGTCAGACGCCCGATTCTGTTTACGGATCGATGGGAAGGCACTGCCATGCTCGTGCGCAGAAGGGCTCGGCGCGCTCTGATTGATAGTGTTGCGGTGGCTCCCGAATTTGGCCCCAGGGCGTCCAGGCCCAGGACCCAGGTCAAGTCCAAGCTGGCCAGGGCCTTGGACTCCTCGTCGCACCGCCTGTCGAAGTGCAGCAATCGGTGGATGTGCTCTGGCTGTTTGCAGATTGTGCCACGGACGAAGCTCCTGGAGTTTGCGGCCACGTCCTGCCCTTCGGCTGCTGGGCCAGATCCTCCTTCCTCCGCCTCGGCCCCCAGTGAGCGATTCCTCGGTGACGGATTCCTGGCGGTGAGCGGGGCGCCCAAGGTTAGAGGCGCGGCCCTGCATCCTTCTCATGCTATTCGGGAGTGGCCCCGATACGGCCTTAAATTCTGTGCGGTGTGCGGGTTCACGGCTGCGATTCACGGTCGAAACCTGGCCAAGCCGTGCGCTCCCCCCACCCGCAAGGGGAGAGAGAATTTGGGCCGCCTGGAGAAGGGCCTTTACCCGTCGTATCGGGGGCCCCCCTCTGCGCTCGTGGTCGCTGAGATCCAGGCTCAGACTGCGAGAGCCCAGGCTGCCCCTCGGCCCGCCGCAGATGAGCCAGCGCACGTCCCCTTGGACGAGTATATCAGGTTTGCTGCACTTCCTGAGGTTTCTGACTCGGAACCCCCACCCGAGGGCGATTCGGGTGAATTCGTTTGTCGCCCCGAGTTTGACTGTGCCCCCTGTACCCCATCCGTGGGCGAGGGGAGGATCGGAGGAGTCGAGGATGTGACAAGGGGTGAGAGGCGGAGGGAGGCTGTATCCGTGCCTCGGTCGTCGGCGCTGTCGGGAGAGGCGGGAGTGCTGCGCTCGGTCCAGCGAGCTCTCTCGCTCCCGCCCGCGTCCCGAACTCGTTCCACCAGAGCGGCGAGTACGACAGGCAGGAACGCCCAACCCGCGCCCTCCCCGCCCTCAGACGACTCCGATTAATGCTGCTGACGCCACATGTGCTGTGACGACTCCACATGCTCGCCCATTCTCGCCCATTCCTCCTCATCCTCCTCCTCCTCCTCCTCCTCCTCCTCCTCCTCCTCCTCCTCCTCCTCCTCATCATCATCATCCTCCTCCTCAGCCTCCTCATGCTCCTGCTCCTGCTCCTGCTCCCCCTCCTCCTCCTGCTCATGCTCTTGCTCCTCCTCCGCCTCCCCATGTTCCTTCCTCGTGTCGCCCCCTCCTTCCTCTCCTCTTCCCCTTTCCTCGAAGAAGGAGAGGAAAGAGGGGAAGGAATTCCCTCCGACTGTCTTGGCACCCATAAGTCGGCGGGGCGGAAAGGGGGAAGGAGGACGTCAAGCAAGAGGAGGACGGTGGGCGTGTCTTGATGGCACCTCACGCCTCGCCAGCCCCTGAAATACAACGTTGCGAGCAAAAAGAGAAAGCGAAGCGGCATCGCGGAACGACGCGACCATGGCCCTGGGCCCCGCTCTCCTGCGGCAGTCTTCGACCCGCACCAAGATGTGAAGGCCCTGGGGCCCGAAGTGAGACAAAATCGCCCGTGGAGAAAACAAGCATGGAAAAGCGCCAGGATCTCGGAGGCGAGGCGCGCGCGGAGCGCCGAGCAGATCCTGGGCGGGCCTCTCGCGGGCGGGCCTCGCATGCGGGTCCCGCCTTCGGGAAGGCGACCGCGCGGAGAAGAAGGCCGCCCGTGGGCGAGGCGCGGGCGGGCCGCGGGTGGGTCGCAACGACGCGGCGCCTTGCGGCCCTCACTTCCACACCACGGCCAAGGACGCCCCAGGGTCGTTGGGCCCCTTCGCCAGGACCACGCAGCCTGGATTCGTCAGCGGCCTTCCTGAACAAACGTCGGAGCCTGGGAGACGGGTCAGCGGTAGTGTGCGTGGCAGAGCCCCCTTATTTGCTTCCATACATATCATCAGTGGAAAGCAGCACAATGATGGCACAGGAACCCAGTGCATGCGAACGGCTGAGACTCTCACTGTGTCCACAAAAGGAAGAAAGATCCCATCAGCTGACAGAAACGCAAGACACTCCCGCACCTCCGTAAAGTCCACATGGGCAAGGGTGTCCTGGCAAACGCGGATGAGCTGATCCAAACACGTAGCAAGAATGGAGGAGGCACCGGAGGCAATATCGAATTGTGGCACGAGAAAGAGTTGCAATAATCCAGAGGGGTGGCAACCGATAGAGAGAGAGAGAGATCCGGATGGTAAATGTGATTCCCCCTCTACACAATACAGAAGCGCATGCAGAACGAATGATGCAGAATAACCCGGTGACGTACGCAACCCTTGTAAGCATGTGGCGAATATACATCGGATCGCTCAATACAAAAGCAATCATTGAATGATCCGCAATGCCCTTGAACGTGTCCCCAGGCCAGTGCCACATGTTTCACATATGCGGCGTCACCCTTAAGAGTCTGGAAGTTGGCAGGACAGCGACCACGAGGGGGCGTGGAAACATGTGGAGGAGGGACGATTGGAGACATCATCCGTGGGAGTCGCAGCGCCTTGCGCTGTGTTCGCATTGCAGGACAGCGCTCTGCGCGCTATGACAATACAGCACCTTGCGCTAAAAGTAATATGTGCAAGCATGCATTACAAGCAACAGGCATGGACATGGGCAACGGACGGCGCCATGCGCTATTCGCTGCGCGGCGCTCGCACACGCCGCGATGTGCGATCTAACAGCGCCATGCGCCATGCGACGGGGAGAAGTCGTGCGTCCACGGGGCGACTATAAGCAGGGCTGGAATCACACCTGCATGTGCCTCATGTGCTCAGCCCTGTGTCTGCTTACCGCCGAATGCATATACCCGGCCGCCCATGCCGCATGGGACTGGTGGCGACAGTTCCGCAGACCGCAGCACCCCAGGGACGGCGAGGTCTATTGGTGATCTGCGTAGGACACCCCTCCGCTGGACCTCCCAGGAGCCCACGAATCTGGCGGCACTTTCGCTGATCGCAGCGCCACACGGACGGCGAGGTCACATGGTGGTCCCCGTGGGACAACCGCCCCCCGATGGACCTCCCAGGAGCCCACGAAAGTGGCGACACTCTCGCAGACCGCAGCCCCCCAGGGACGGCGAGGTCTCGTGGTGATCTACGTGGGACACCCCTCCGCTGGACCTCCCAGGAGCCCACGAAAGTGGCAACACTTTCGCAGATCGCAGCCCCCCCAGGGACGGCGAGGTCTCTTGGCGACATGCGCGGGATACCCCTCCGCTTGACCTCCCAGGAGCCCACCAAAGCGGCGACACTTTCGCAGATCGCAGCCCCACACGGACGGCGAGGTTACATGGTGGTCCCCGTGGGACACCCCCCCCGCTGGACCTCCCAGGAGCCCGCGAAAGTATCGACACTTTCGCAGATCGCAGCCCCCCAGGGACGGCGAGGTCTCGTGGTGATCCCGTGGGACACCCCTCCGCTGGACCTCCCAGGAGCCCACGAAAGTGACGACACGTTCGCAGACCGCAGCCCCCCAGGGACGGCGAGGTCTCGTGGTGGTCCCCGTGGGACACCCCTCCGCTGGACCTCCCAGGAGCCCACGAAAGTGGCGGCACTTTCGCAGACCGCAGCACCCCAGGGACGGCGAGGTCTCTTGGTGATCTGCGTGGGACACCCCCCCGCTGGACCTCCCAGGAGCCCACGAAAGTGGCGACAATTTCGCAGATCGCAGCCCCCAAGGGACGGCGAGGTCTCGTGGTGATCTGCGTGGGACACCCCTCCGCTGGACCCCCGAGGAGCCCACGAAAGTGGCGACACTTTCGCAGACCGCAGCTCCCTAAGGACGGCGAGGTCGCGTGGAGATCTGCGTGGGACACCCCTCCGCTGGATCTCCCAGGAGCCTACGAAAGTGGCGACACTTTCGCAGACCGCAGCCCCCAAGGGACGGCGAGGTTTCGTGGTGATCTGCGTGGGACACCCCTCCGCTGGACCTCCCAGGAGCCCACGAAAGTGGCGACACTTTCGCAGATCGCAGCCCCCCAGGGACGGCGAGGTCTCGTGGTGATCTGCGTGTGACACCCCCCCGCTGGACCCCCCAGGAGCCCACCAAAGCGGCGACACTTTCGCAGATCGCAGCCCTCAAGGGACGACGAGGTCTCGTGGTGATCTGCGTGGGGCACCCCTCCGCTGGACCCCCCAGGAGCCCACGAAAGTGGCGACACTTTCGCAGACCGCAGCTCCCCAGGGACGGCGAGGTTTCGTGGTGATCTGCGTGGGACACCCCTCCGCTGGACCTCCCACGAGCCCACGAAAGTGTCGACAATTTCGCAGATCGCAGCCCCCCAGGGACGGCGAGGTCTCGTGGTGATCTGCGTGGGACACCCCTCCGCTGGACCTCCCAGGAGCCCACCAAAGTGGCGACAGTTTCGCAGATCGCAGCCCCCCAGGGACGGCGAGGTCTCGTGGTGATCTGCGTGTGACACCCCCCGCTGGACCCCCCAGGAGCCCACGAAAGTGGCGGCACTTTCGCAGACCGCAGCACCCCAGGGACGGCGAGGTCTCGTGATGGTCCCCGTGGGACACCCCTCCGCTGGACCCCCCAGGAGCCCACGAAAGTGTCGACAGTTTCGCAGATCGCAGCCCCCCAGGGACGGCGAGGTCTCGCGGTGATCTGCGTGTGACACCCCCCCGCTGGACCCCCAGGAGCCCACGAAAGTGGCGACACTTTCGCAGACCGCAGCCCCCCAGGGACGGCGAGGTCTCGTGGTGATCTGCGTGGGACACCCCTCCGCTGGACCTCCCAGGAGCCCACGAAAGTGGCAACACTTTCGCAGATCGCAGCCCCCCCAGGGACGGCGAGGTCTCGTGGTGATCTGCGTGTGACACCCCCCCGCTGGACCCCCTAGGAGCCCACGAAAGTGGCGACAGTTTCGCAGACCGCAGCCCTCAAGGGACGGCGAGGTCTCGTGGTGATCTGCGTGGGACACCCCTCCGCTGGACCTCCCAGGAGCCCACGAAAGTGTCGACAATTTCGCAGATCGCAGCCCCCCAGGGACGGCGAGGTCTCGTGGTGATCTGCGTGGGACACCCCTCCGCTGGACCCCCCAGGAGCCCACCAAAGTGGCGACAGTTTCGCAGATCGCAGCCCTCAAGGGACGGCGAGGTCTCGTGGTGATCTGCGTGGGACACCCCTCCGCTGGACCCACCAGGAGCCCACGAAAGTGGCGACACTTTCGCAGATCGCAGCTCCCCAGGGACGGCGAGGTCTCGTGGTGATCTACGTGGGACACCCCTCCGCTGGACCTCCCAGGAGCCCACGGAAGTGTCGACAGTTTCGCAGACCGCAGCCCCCCAGGGACGGCGAGGTCTCGTGGTGATCTACGTGGGACACCCCTCCGCTGGACCTCCCAGGAGCCCACGAAAGTGGCGACACTCGTGCAGACCGCGGGCACGATGCAGGAGGCAGAAGGCAGGTGTGAGGAGAGAGGAAGACGAGGGAGAAGGGGGGAGGCGGGAGGAGGGGGAGGAGAAGAGGGAGGCGGAGACCACAGTTCAAAACGAGAACCCAACCAAGGGAGGGTTGGGAAAACGACGCGCCGCAATCAGAAGCAATGCCGCGCCATTGCGGGCCAGGCACAAACGTTCCCGTCATGGTCGCCGAGAGTCGCCGACAGAATCAAGGCAAGCCATAGGCCGCAGCCAAAGATAATCGCACGACCGACGCTCGCCAGTCTCCACCTCTCACCTCCTCCAGCCCCTCCCGCCACATCGTTCCACCGCCTCCCCGTCCCCCTCCCAGCTGCAGGGAAAGAGATGCGGTAGGTATCGCTTCCTAGCTAATCATTTGGGAGCGCGCAGTCTGCCACACTACGATGTTTGCCGGCCGCCAGCCGTCCAGCCCGGCCCCTCGCCTCCGCAGCTGTCGGCCGCCAAGCCGCGGGAAGCGCAAGAGGCCCCCGGGATGCCCCAAGAGGCCCCCAAGAGGCCCGCAAGAGGCCCCCAAGAGGCCCCCAAGCGACCCCCTAGAGGTCCCAAAACGCCCCCCAAGAGGCCTCAAAACTGCCTCCAAGAGGCCCCCGAGAGGCCTCCCACGAGATTTCACCCAACATCCACTGGGCTTTTAACCCACAGCCCAGGCACGGTGGAGGAGGGAAGAGGTTTTCGGGGCACGCTCGGCCACGGCGTAGACCTCACAGCGACCATGACAGTGGCAAGAGCACCACGCACGCAGGAGGGAAAGGGAAGCAAAAACCGCAACAGAAAAAACGCGCACGCCCGTGCGGCCGAGCCTGTCGTCGTCCCGCGAGCGGCTCGGGTAGCTGCTGCCCAAGCGCAGAGAGAGAGAGAGAGAGAGAGCGCGCACCGCGCCCGAAGCCGACCCGCACCCCGGCCACGAGCGGAGGGGCGTGTCGAGGAGGGGGGGGGCGCCAGCTCCGGCAGCCGAGGGCGCAAGGTGTCGCAAGCAGGCGCAGGCACGGCGCAGGCACGGCGCACGCACGGCTGGCGGCAGAATGCGGCGGCGAGCGCGAGCGCGAGCGCGTCGAGCGCGTGTGGCACGCCAGGGGAAGCGCGACCGGCAAGCTGCACGCTGAGGGAAGTCAGGACGCAGGGGGGAGGGCGGCCGCTTCTAGAGTCTAGAGCTGCGCGATGCGGGAGGTCGAAAGCATGCGGAGCATATGCTGGATGCTCCAGGGTTCTGGCCGGCTGATCGAATTCCCGCTACTGCGCCACATTCGCTACGAGCGGGTCCGTTGCATGCTGCGCCTGCTAGCCATAGAATCATCTGCGCACAGTGCTCCACCACCTGCGGCATCGCTCCGCACCCACCGCTCTCGCGCCCGCAGCACGCGCGCTTCGGCCGCAGGGCTGGCTGTCGACGAAGGCACTGGTCCCTGCGCAGGCGACGAGCGTTGATCCCGTCGTCCTGGAAGTGAAACCTGATGTGCAGGTGCGGGTGTGGCCTCTGGAGGCGGCAGCACCTGCGCCAGAGCAGGCTTCCTAGGTGACCATGCCTTCGCCACCTCCCTTCTGCGTGGTGCGTCCAGAGGCCGACACTGCAAGGGCAATCCCCAGGAGGCGACGGAGGGACGTCCGCTGATTTCTCCCCCACGCGGTCGTCGGCATCGACCCGGCGAACGACGAGGCACCATAGAGGACTCGGCGTCTCCGCGAAAAGCCGCCGCGCTCTGGCTCGCGGGACGACCGTCGCTACTGTTCGCACGAGGCGCCCGCTCAAATATCGAACACTGGAGCACGGCACGGCGGCGGCGCCTCCCCGACGCACGCGCGGGCCATGCCCGCTGCGGCACAGGGCAGCGACATGAGCCCGTCGGGACGCCACCGTGCTGGAGAGGGCCCAGGCCACATCTGGGCAACGCCCGTCCGAGCCATCGGCGTTTGTTTTTATCTTGGAGGCGCCGTGGCTGACCGAACCCCATACGATCCTCGAGCACGCGGCGCGAAAGCAGACTCTCGGCAAGAGGCGCTGACTAAGAGCCTGCCCTCAACGGAGGGGCTCATCAGCCGGCCAGACGCCTCCCGGGTCACTGCAGATGAACGCGCGGTTGGGGCGAAGCACAAGGGAACAATTTTGCTTGTGCATGCAGAGCCCGAGCATCCAGTCGACGGTCGCCCTCGTTGACGCACGGCGCGAGACGCATGTCGCGTACACCTGCAGGCCAGGCTCGGCCAAGGCGAGAAAAGCGAGCGGCGCAGCTCGGCAGTCCAAGAATGTCCTGCCTGCCTGCCTCGTGCCTCGTGCTGCCACGAGTGCTCGTGGCGACAGCCATGACGCCAGCGTCAGGACTGCGGTCAAGAACTCTTGCATAGCGCGTCGCCGCGGCGGCCCTGGCGACACGCCGTGCTCTGCAAGCAGACAGCGCGTCGCTCCCCTCCGCGGGGCGGGAGGCCCGGAACAGCCTGAGGCGTTGACTTTTGCAAATGGGGACGAAGCGTGGGCCAGAGCCGGCGGAACGACACGCCAAGGCAAGGCAAAGTTGCTGACCGTAGACCCGTTGCTGCTCAGAGAACGGGAGCAGGGCTTCCAGCCAGAGCGACCAGTCGCGCAACGCGTTGGCGCCCGACTCTGGCTGGGTTGCCAGCGCCGCCCGGCACGGCCAGCATCCGCCACGTCCTTCCTCTAGGCTTCGGGGAAGGACTGAACTTCTTCTCCAAACCCCGCTCCCCTCCCAACCGCCAGGGCATGCGGCACCTCATCAGCACGCAACAGAATAGCCGAGAGATCTGCGCCAATGCTTCCACAAGCCGCTTGTACAACTGGGTACTTAGCTTTCTCTCCGATGCGCGGCGCGTCTACTAGTGTTCACGCCGTCCCCTCCCTTCCTCTCCCATCACCACCAACATCATCACCATGATCATCATCCACCACCACCACAACTTTCATCATCATGATCATCATCTCCATCATCAGCAGCCACATCACCATCATCAGCAGCATCATCAGCGGCATCGAAATGACCAAAGAGAGCAACGAAAACGACAACAGCAACCACAGCAACCACAACAACAACAACAACAACAACAACAACAACAACAACAACAGCAACATCAACAACAACAAACATAACAGCAACAACAACAACAACAACAAAACGACGACGACGACGGCAACAAAAGCGACAGCAACAGCAACAGCAACAGCAACAGAAACAACAATTACAACAACATCTATAACCGTAACCACAACAACAGCAGCAACAGCAGCAACAGCAACAGATGCAGCAGCAGCAGCAGCATAACAACAACAACAACAACAACAACAACAACAACAACAACAACCACAACAAAAGCAACAACAACAACGGCAGCGTCAGCAGCAACAACAACAGCAACAACAGCAACAGCAACAACAACAACGACGACGACGACGACAACGACAACGACAACGACAACAACCGTAACAACAACCACGACGAAGACGACGACGATAACAAATCAGGATATGCATCACCAACACCAACATCATACTCATCATCCTCGTCACCGTCACTCTCATCATCATCATCAAAGCATCACCATCAACAACAACAACAACAACAACAACAACAACAACAACAACAACAACAACAAGGCAGGGCCAGGTCCCTGATGCCCTGGGGGTACGGCATCAAGTCCCTGCCCCACCAGGCCAGCGAGGCCGGGAACCTAATGTCCTGCCCCCGCAACCGCGCAACCAGCAGCATCATACGCAAACGCATGTGAAACACGAAGGGCTTCCAAGTTGGATTCTGAACAGAGCATCGATGCGCGCGCCAGCGAAGTGCGCTCCTGCAGCAAGCCGATTACAGCTGGACCCAGCTCTGATAGGACTCTACTACAGCTGAATCCAGCTCTACTTGAAATCATGGTACAGCTGAATCCAGCTTTGCTAGCCACCCACTAGACCTGGAGCCAATTTTCCTAGAACCCTAACAGCTGGATCCAGTTCTACTGGAATCCGAATACAGCTGGACCAGCCCGACAAAAAAACCTACTCAAGCTGGATCCGGTCCTGTCATAAACATACTGCAACTGGATCCAGCTGAAATGGATTCTAATACAGCTGGATCCAGCTCACTATCTTATGGATTTCTTACTAAGGATTCTCTGCGGGGGGTCCATATTAAGAGATCCCTACGGATGAACCCTACGAAGGACGCCTCACTAAGGAACCCTTACCAAGGAATCCTCAATAACGATCCCCCACTGATGATCCCATACGAAGAAACTCGACCGAAGGAGCCCTCATGGAAGAATCATTTACGATGGAATCCTTACCCTGGATTCCTTACTCAGGATTCCGTAATCACGGCTGTTTATCTGGGATCCCTTGCTAAGGATCCCTTATTACGGAGTCCCCACTGAGGACTTCCCAATAAGGATCCCTTACTGGCGATTCCTAGCTAGGGATTCCTTAATAAAGATTCCCGACTAAGGTCTCCTTACTATGAATCCCGAGATCAGGATTTCCTTGCGAAGAATTCCGTAATAGGGATTCCCTCCGCAGGATTCCTAACTAAGGACGCCCCACTTGGGATTCCGAACTGCGGGCTCAATTCAAGGGATTCCTTCCTCTGAAATCGTTGCTACGGACGCCTGAAAACTGGCTCATTACTCAAAAGAGTTCACTCACAACTCCTTACTGACGATGCCTTACTAAGGATTCGTTGCGACACCCTACCCACGAAGGATTCCTGACTAAAAAATCCTTACTCAGGGCTCCCGATTCAGGACTCCTTCCTACCGATTCCCAAATGCCGAATCACGGCCCTACTGGGGGCGCCCCTCTGGGGCATACTCACACACACAAACACTTTTGCGTCGGCGGCTAGGCAGAATTACTGCGCTGGCGAAAGCGGCGTTGGTGGGGACACTCACAGACACTAAACGGAATGCGCCTCACAGAAAGCTCCACATATAATCCCTGAGACAGGGTTCGCACGCCGCCCTCCCCCCCGATTTCGCTACACCCCTCTCACGCGTAGTGCCCCACAGGGAACTTCAGTTATAGCGCGCCACTGGAGCGCATTTGTTTTATTCCCGGCCATGACGGGCAGGGGGAGGGGGGGGGACGGGAGGGGGCATAACGTAGCGTCCCCCCCAGACTGTGGTGCCTGACGCACTGCGGCAGCGCTGGGGACGCACTGAGGGGGGAAGCGTTACGTCATGGGCCGGCGACTCCAAAGGGTGTGGTTTGCAAAGGGTGTGGCTTGCAATCGGCACCCTGGGGAACATCCTGGGGGGCACCATGGGGGCGCGCGGGGACCTCGATTGAGTTCCCCCGCGACCCGAGGAGGCCCGACGAGGACAGCGTCGTGCCCCCCCAGGCCCCAGCAGTGCCGATCGTAAACCACACCCCGGCGCAACCATACCCTTTGTAGTCGCCGAATTGAGGAAGGGAATTGGGGGGGAGGGGAGGGGCAGGCACAACGCGCGCACAAGGCCACTTACAAGCGAGGTTAGGCCAAATATAACCCCTGTTTGGCGTCCACCGATACACCCCCCTATCCCCTTAGCAACCCCCGCGCCCATCCCAGCAGGGACAGGTCCATGCCCCCGACGTCGTGATTTCCTTATGATTAGGTCGGGCATGTCCTCCTACAGGCGCATTTTGGGCGAAATTAAAAGATAGCCCCCAAAAAAATTCAAAAAGAGTCAAAAAATATTCGAGTAATCATCCCCAGGCTAATTTCTGACAGTTTAATATATTTCTCCTGTAGAGGGACACGCCCGACTTAACCTGAATCGTTTGTTGACAGTCCCGGGGCCCAGCGAGGGCCCCTGGAGGTCGACAATAGCGAAAAGCCTCCCGTCGGAGATGTTTTCACAGTGAGAGGGGGTCTGGGGACAGGGAGAGGAGAAGACGAGAAGGCGGGAGGTCGGGGACAGGGGACTGGCGAAGTGTCGGGGGGAACACGGGCCGGGACGAGAATGGAGCCTCGGGGGGGCGGCGGGGCTCGGGGGGCACCGGTGCGACAGAGGAACCGCCCGCTGTGATGTTTTTACCACGCGAGGGGGCCTGGGCATCCCCTTAACCACCCCCGCACCCATCCCAGCACTGCAGGGGGAGGTCCACGTCCACCAGCCCCGCGAGCAGGCCTGGCACAACGTCGACCCCCAAAGTCTGGACCCCTTCGCCGGTATTGGTTTGCCGAAAATAGCGACAAACCGCCAGTCGTGTTTTTGTCACAACGCGAGGGGGTCTGGGTATCCCCTTAGCCAACCGCGCGCCCATCCCAGCACTGCAGGTAGAAGGAAAAAAATGGCATAAACATAAACTGTTGGCGCTCCGCGCGGATTTCTTTATTCTACTCTGGAATCCCCTCCCTGGCGCGCAGAGCGCGCCAGGGGCGGCGCCGAAAGCGCCGCCAGGGGGGGCCCAGCGCGAACCCAAGAAATCCGCGCGGAGCGCCAAAAGTTTATGTTTATTGGACAAGCACGCTCCACTACTCGCAAAGTAACCACTCACAAATGGCCTGGATCCACCGCGATGGATTTACGATCAATTGCATGGAGGGAGACTTCTTGTTTTTCCAGACGTTTGCGAGTGGGCACTTTGCGAGTAGTGGAACGCGCTCGGTGACTTATGGTGTTTTTCCTTCTTCGATGCCGGGGGGGGGTCCACGTCGACCAGCCCCGCGAGCAGGCCCGGCACAAGGGCGAGGCGGCCCCGGACCTCCACGGCCTGCGGGCCGGAGGGGGCGGCGGGCGCAGCGGCGCATCGGCGACGCGGGGAGGGCCAGGAGGGCGCCAGGTGCACACTTCCTCGGAGGCCTCCCGGAAGTGGCCCGAGGATGGGAGGAGATAAGATCGGAGGAGGATCCTCCTCCTCCTCCTCCTCCTCCTCCTCCCTCCCTCCCTCCCTCCCTCCCTCCCTCCTTCCCTCCCTCCCTCCCTCCCTCCCTCCCTCTCCTCCTCCTCCTCCATTCTTCTCCTTTCTGTGAACTTCTCCATGTCGCGCCCCGAGGCCAGTTTTTAGGGCGGGCCGGGTGTTTCGCCTGAGACTTCCTCACCATTAATGACCCTGACGCTTAAAAAACAAACAGTTTCACAGATGGCGGGCGGGTCGTTTTTTAAAATGTGGCTCTCGCCTTAGCGCATCGCACATTCGTTTCAAAGAACTGTAAGAGCTTCACGGATTGAGGGCGGGTGGTATTCAAAATGTGGCTCTCGCCTTAGCGCCGCGCACATTCATTTTCAAAATGCGAGAAGTTTCACGGATTGAGGGCGGGTGGTTTTCAAAATGTGGCTCTCGCCTTAGCGCCGCGCACATTCGTTTTCAAAATCCGCAAGAATTACACGGATTGAGGGCGGGTCGTTTTCAAAATGTGGCTCTCCTCTTAGCGCCGCGCACATTCGTTTTCAAACTTTGCAAGAGTTTCACGGATTGAGGGCAGGTGGTATTCAAAATGTGGCTCTCGCCTTAGCGCCGCGCACATTCGTTTTCAAAATGCGCAAGAGTTTCACGGATTGAGGGCGGGTGGTTTTCAAAATGTGGCTCTCGTCTTAGCGCCGCGCACATTCGTTTTCAAAATTTGCATGGAATTCACGGATTGAGGGCAGGTGGTTTTCAAAATGTGGCTCTCCTCTTAGCGCCGCGCACATTGGTTTTCAAACTTTGCAACAAATTCACGGATTGAGGGCAGGTGGTTTTCAAAATGTGGCTCTCGCGTGAGCGCCGCGCACATTCGCTTTCAAAATGCGCAAGAGTTTCACGGATTGAGGGCGGGTGGTTTTCAAAATGTGGCTCTCGCCTGAGCGCCGCGCACATTCGTTTTCAAAATGCGCAAGGGGTTCACGGATTGAGTGCAGGTGGTTTTCAAAATGTGGCTCTCGTCTTAGCGCCGCGCACATTCGTTTTCAAAATGCACAAGAGCTTCACGGATTGAGGGCGGGTGGTTTTCAAAATGTGGCTCTCGCCTTAGCGCCGCGCACATTCGTTTTCAACATTTGCAAGAGCTTCACGGTTGAGGGCGGGTGGTTTTCAAAATGTGGCTCTCGCCCTAGCGCCGCGCACATGCGTTTTCAATAATTGCAAGAGTTCTACGGACTCCCATGATCAACGTACCATTAATGGTGTTTTGGAAGGACTCAAGATTATGCGGGCGCAACAGTTATGTTGATTCTCGGTATTGAAATCCCAAAAATGGCGTTCTGGCACGATTCTGGATTGTCATGACGCAGCAGTCAGGTTGATACGTGGCGTTGCAATCCAGAGAACAACGTTTTGGCATGCTTCAGGATCTTCAAACGGTTGTCTTCCAACGAGGCAGTTCCCTCAATGGAAATCGGTCGTTGTACGGGCCTATGAAGAGGGAGCTTGGAGGGAGGGTTAATTCCAACATCGTTGATGACTCTTGGGTTTACACACATCCTTCTCCTCCTCCTCGTCCTGCCTCCTCGCCCTCCCGCCCGCCCGCCCGCCTTCCCACCCTCCCGCCCTTCCGCCCAGCCCCCCCCCTCCCCTCTCAGAGATGAAACCAAAACGAGGATAAAATCGGGTACGGATCAATCGAGAGAATCCCTGAGATCGGGCGGATCTGGAAAAAGTCTCGGGCGCCGCGGCCTTCTCAGAGCGTTCGGGAACGCTCCGAGAGCGTTGCGGAGCGCCCTGGAACGGATATTTATCCTCGTCCTAGATCCGCCCGATCCTGAGAGGCCTCCTGGAAGTCCTGGAAGTGGTCCGAGGATCGGGAAGACGAAGACTTACCGGGATCTGGGGTCGGAGGAGGCTGGCCTGGGGTCGGAGGATCGCCGATGCATCAGCGATGCATCCGCAGAGCATCGGCGAGGCATCAGCGCTGCATCAGCGATGCATCAGCGAATGCATCAGCGAATGCATCAGCGAATGCTTCAACGATGCATCGGCGGTGCATCGGCGGTGCATCGGCGACGCCAGCGCGGAGCACATCAGGCTCCGCATCGAGCCGCATCGGCGATGCATCGGCGATGCGGCACTATCCTCCACCCCCTATCTAGTCGGACCCCATTTCAGAGGCCTGCCCAGACCCCCGACGTCGTGGTTATTTCATGACGTGGCCCCCAGGAGCTTGGACCCCTTCCCGGGGACCGGTTTTTCGTCCTGACTCGTTTTGTTGACGGTGCCGGGGTCCGGCGAGGACCCCCGAAGGCCGAAAATTGCAGCAGCAACAACAACAACAACAACAACAGCAACAGCAACAGCAACAGCAACAGCAACAGCAACAGCACCAACACCAACACCAACACCAACAACAACAACAACAACAACAACAACAACAACAACAACAACAACAACAACAACAACAGCAACAGCAACAGCAACAGCAACAGCAACAGCAACAGCAACAACAACACCAACACCAACAACAACAACAACAACAACAACAACAACAACAACAACAACAACAACAGCAGCAGCAGCAGCAGCAGCAGCAACAACAACAACAACAACAACAACAGCAGCAACAAAACCAAAACGTCGTGATTTGTTCACAACGTGAGGGGGTCTGGGCAGCCTGCTCCGATCCTGGCCAGGCCCGGCCTGGGCCAGGGACCTCGGCGCGGACACCCCCCACCCCGGCTGGGCCAGGAGGGCATTACCCAGCACGGGGAGGCCGCTCTTCTACAGACTCGGGCGAGCTTCCCAGACCCCTCGGACAATGAAAAAATCATGACGGAAGGTTTTTCCCAATTTTCGGCCTCTGGGGACCCTCGCCGGGCCTCGGGACCGCCGAAAAACGACTCAGAATGGAAAATCGGTCCAGGGGAATGGGTCGAGACCCCTGTGGGTCGACGTTATGAAAAAATCATGACGTCGGGGGTCTGGGTTACGTGCATGGCATCCCCCCCCTTCCAAAATCGGGACGGAGCCCGTCCTTGGCCAGGGATTGGTGCGGGCGCCCTCCCGGCTTGGCCGGGAGGGGCATATCCCCAGACCATGCGCCCGTGCCGCTCACGGCGGGAGGTTTCGGCCTCTGGGGGGCCCCCTCGCGGGGCCCCAGGACCGTCAAAGACGACTCTCGGTGAAGAGCCAGTCCCGGAGAAAGGATCGGGACCCAGACCTCCTCGCGCTGTGAAAAAATCACGACGGGAGGTTTGTCGCTAGTTCAGGCCTCCAGGGGCCCTCGCTGGGCCCTAGGACCGTCAAAAAACGAATCAGAATGAAAAACTGATCCCCGGGAAGGGGTCCAGGCTCCTGGGGGTCACGTCATGAAAAAATCGCAACGTCGGGGGTCTGGGGAGAAAGAATCGAGACTTCCAGGGACTCCGTACACGCGTGCTGCTGCAATTAAGGAGCGGGAAATGAGGAACGAGGCCCCGCTCTGGCACCAACAAAGCCTGAGTGCACGAGGAGGGCCAGAGGAACAACAACCACGGAATGAACAGCGAGAGCCCCGTCCGAACCCAATGTTCAGCATATTTTGCTGCATTGAAACCATCCAGACAACTCGTGCCTGGGAGCACACCAAATCTTAGCTCCAGCATGTTCCCCTACAGGCGGACTTCGACAGAAATTTAAGAATAGTCACAAAATGATCAAAAATACTAATTTCGATTTTTCCCACTGTAGAGGGGCATGCCCGGCTTAAACAAAATCATGGGCCCAAGATCGGCAAGGCCAGAAGGCGCAGGCAGACCTCCAGCCGGCGCCCTCCGTTGGGCGCTGCTACAGGGGGGAGCGATGCATGGGGGGAGGCGAAGAGGCGTGTACCCCTTCGTGCCCCTCTTGGTCCCCAGAGGGTCCCATTTAGGGCTCATGGAGTGCACAGAGTTGCACCTTCATTCTTACCTTATTTCTTTCGGTCTTCCGCTGGCGCGGTCGCGCGCGTGCACAGAGGAACACCTCTACTCACTCCCGCACTGATCCCCCCCTCCAGCATGCCAACGCCCGACTCTGGGCGTGGGGGTGGGGGGGGCCCTGCCCGGGAGATCCCTGCGACGGAGGCGGGAGCGCAAGCCGCGCAGACACCTTCCGTAGCCGATCAGCACGGGGGGCTTGGCAGGCAAGGGCAGCCCGAGGCTGGAACCCCTGGCGCCCGGTCGCCTCCGTTCGGCACCAACCCAGGAGAGCACTCAAAGAACTGGTGCTGCCAATCCGATCGAAGAATGGCAGGAAGGCGAAGCCTTCACTCCCTCCTGGCGTCAAACCTTTCGGGAGTGACTCTGGCACGCGGACCGGGGGGGTGGAGGCGAGACCGAAGCAGCAGTTAGCGGGAAGGAAACACGCACACGAGCGACGAAAAGAACGGGTCTGACGCAAGATGACGTAGCAGCCTTGCGCGGCGGCTTCCGCGCCAATGTCGGCGCAGTCGCCCCCGTTTTCCTACAGTGGAGGCCCGTCCACAAGAAACCTACCACAAGAAACCCAACCCTGGGAGCCCAGGACGTCCATTGACATTTGGTGTGGGAACGTCACGTGATCCATGGCAAAACCATCGAAACCCAAGAAACCCAGGGCACCCTGGAGGCACGCAGGGTGTTTCTTGGCATGGGCCTCCACTGTACGTCGCTCACGTGGCGATGGCACGGCGGGGTCAACATCAGAGCGAGGTCGACGGAGGACGGGGCCGAGGGGAGGCCAGGGGGCGAGGGCCGCGGAGCGCGGCGCTGGGTTGAGGGAGGGCGGCCCGCGCAGGGAAGGGGAGAGGGCAGCGCAGAACGGCAGGGCTTACGGAGAGCGCGAGGACGGGACGAGAGGCGCGGAGCAGGAAAAGATCGGGAGTCTGAGATGTATGTGTGCGTGCACGTATACAAATGGAGAGCGAGAGAGATAGAGAGAGAGGACAGTGAAATATAGACATACATGTACATATGCATATATATATATATGTATTGAAATATATATATATATATATATATATATATACACATACATACATACATACATACATACATACATACATACATACATACATACATACATACATACATAGTGTGAGAGATATTATATTTTAACAAAAAACAAAAAAAAAAAAAAAAAACAAAAAAAGAGAGAGAGAGAGAGAGAGAACAAAAAAAAGAGGGATAGAGAGAGACAGAGAGAGCCAGACAGAGGGGAAATGGAGAGAAAAACAGAGAGAGAGAGAGAGACGAACATGAGAGAGACAGAGAACGAGAGAGAGAGAGAGAGAGAGAGGATGAGCCAGGTGGCGAGCAGAGTTGACGGGAGGGCGGCAGCTGGGGCAGGCTGAGAGAGGAGCAGGGTGGGGATCCGGAGGTCCTGGAGCTCCCAGTCGTCCGACAGCACCACGTCGTAATCCGCGGAGGCCAGGCCGTCGACGTACTGGTCCTGGCCGCGGCCGGGCCTCTGCCCGAAGCTCAGACCTTCAAGAACTGGGACATATCCTCCTCCTTCCCCTCCCTCTCCTCCTCCTGCTCCTCCTCCTCCTCCTACTTCCTCCTCCTCCTCCTCCT